GCCCACTACCACCACATCGAAGGCAACCACCGGGGCGACTATTCAGCCCCCCGCTAACGACGCCATAGAGTGCCAAACCACTCAGTGGAGTAAGCGGGGGAGGAAGAAGAAGAAGAAGGTGCAGCCTCCTCCTCAGGCAGCAACCTCTACCCCAACCCCAGCGGTAACGATAGCCCAGGCGCAGGTTACCAAGGAGGATAAGAAAGCCAGAATGGGTAGAGTGCCAGAAAGGGCTCTATCAGAAAATAGAGCCCGCTCTACACATAGAGCGCGCTCTACCCACACACAAAGAGCAGTATACCAACTCCCGAGACCAGCGCCAACTCCTGCACAGGCACCTAGAACACCATCAGCCGGCGTCGAGACTGCTGACGCCATCCAACGTCTGGTTGGCTTAGCAATCGAAGTCGGCAGTCAGGTCCTGGCAGATATCAGAGCCGGGACTGATCCCATCACAGCAGTTATGAAGGCGCTGGCAAACCTCCTGGCTCGACACTATGGAGGAATCTAACCTGCGCCTACTACAGAGAAGCTAGTAGAACTCCGCACCGTCGCCCAACAACAAGACGTACAGGTCATCTTGCTGGGAGAGACGAAATTAAACCCGAGTACATGCATAAAGCTGCCTAATTACCACCTTTATAGGAGGGACGAGGTCACTTCTCAAGGGGCCGCCTACAGAGGGACAGCGGTCCTAGTGAGAAGGGACATCGTCCATCAAGAACTTGACCTACCGGAATACCAAACTATGCGCTCTATCGGCATAAAAATGGAGGCGGCGGGCGAGGAACTTAGGATCTACGCAGCATACCGCCCGCCAGGGACTCATTTTGCTCCTCAGACGTCCGGACGGTAATGGAAGGCGAAACACCGACCATCATCGCCGGGGACCTAAACGCCAAACACCCGGCGTGGGGATCTAGATTGATCAACCCGCCGGGTCATGCACTCTTTGAAGACGCCGAAAGACACGGCTATGACGTTTTAGGTCCCGAAGAACCCACACATGTTCCGACGGATCCACGAAGTCGTCCGGATGTATTGGACATCGTGCTCGCTAGGAACATCAACTACCCGATAGTGGTAGAGGTGCTGTACGACCTGGACTCACAGCACCTCCTGATCTTAATTACCCTTGGCTTAAATGCGGTGACTACGCCGCCCAGAACACTGAAGTCACGTGTCGACTGGAGGCTCTACCACAAACACCTGCAGGAGAGACCTCCAGCACACCACCCCTTAAAAACACAGCGGACGACGTAGAGGCCGCTGCTAACAACATTACTAAGGCGATACAGGAGGCCCTCAACGCTGCCTCTACGATCGTCCCGATGTCTACAAGGAGAGACGATCTGCCGCGACACATTAGCGTGCAGATCAGGAGAAAAAGGGCGTTAAGGAGACTCTGGGCGCGTACTCGCTGCCCGAGAATCAAAACGCAACTGAACACCTTGTCGGAGGAACTGTCGGTTGCAGTCCAGGCACACAGAGGAGATGCCTGGGAGCGGCGCATATGGAAGGCGGAAGAGCATGATGCGTCGCTCTACAAACTGAACCGACAGTTAACTAAAGCCAAACCTCCCGTTTGCCCGCTGACCAACAACGCGGGCGAACGTCGTTACGATGCCAAGGGTAGAGCGGATATCCTAGTAGAGCACTTCGAGGAGCAATTTATGCCGAACCCAGCAAGTGCGCAGTTCTTGGAGCTTCTTGCCCAAAAGGAGAGTCGCGTACAGGAGTTCCTGTCGTCGCCCGCGCCGCCTCTTGCAGGAGAGTGGTTCATCTCCCCCCGCTGAACTGCGGTGGACAGCAACCCGCCTGCAACCGAGGAAGGCGCCGGGGCACGATGGGATTACCAACGCTGCACTCCGACAGCTGCCCCATAGAGTCCTAGTAGAGCTTGGTCGACTCTACAATGGGATATTGCGGACATCCCACTTCCCGGAGGACTGGAAGAAAGGCAAAGTGATCGTCTTGCCGAAACCCGGGAAGGACAGGCGTAGAGCTGCCAGCTACAGGCCGATCACGCTGCTACCACACATAGCTAAACTGCTTGAAAGATTGTTGCTAAGACGCCTCCGCCCGTGCATCCAACTTAGGGCGGAGCAGCACGGATTCAGGAGGGGTCACTCCACAGCAACACAGCTGACCAGAGTGCTGCACCTGCTTACGGCCGAATACAACCGTGGCTGCCCTACGTTGGGCGTCTTTCTCGATATCGAGAAGGCGTTCGACAGGGTGTGGCATTCTGGACTACTTTATAAACTAGAAGAACAGACCAGTGTCCCTCCTGCTATGTTGCGGCTAGTGGCGTCTTTCCTGGCAGACAGGAAGTTCTACGTCTGTGTAGAGGGCGCCGAGTCCGCAACCAGAACCATCAGAGCCGGCGTTCCTCAGGGCAGCTGCTTGTCTCCAGTCCTGTACGCGGCTTATACCAATGACATCCCTACCCTGGCAGGAAGGCTGCAAGAGTGGGAGGATGACGTGGAATTGGCGTTATATGCGGACGATAGCGCTTACTTCACCTCGTCTAGAAGAGCCCACATTGCCACTGCCGGGATGCAACGTCTCCTGGACCTGCTGCCACCGTGGCTAGATGAGTGGAGGATGGTCGTCAACGTTGGTAAGACGACGCCGCCTCAGGAACCTACCACCTCAACTAACCCTCAATGGCCAGAAGATCGCGTACGAGAAGGCCGTGACCTACCATGGGTGCCAGATCGACCGGGCTCTGCGCATGACTGCGCACGTCGACCTCGTCGTCCGCAGATCACAATGTGCGCGGGCGATGCTCCGTCCGGTCCTGGCATCCAAGTTACCACTTAACACCAAAGTGCGAGTCTACAAAGCGTATATAAGATCCATCATCACGTATTCTGCTCCGGCCTGGTACGCGCTTCTGAGCGAGCCTCTGAGGCGGCGACTGCAGGCCCAGCAAAATCTGACGTTAAGAACCATCGTCGGTTCGGGTCGCTACGTCCGGAATGACGTCATAGCGGCCAACCTGAAGATTGATACCATCCAGGAGTTTGTGGCCCAGTTGGCGCGCGGATTGTTCGACCGTGCAGACAACGGGCCATGTGCGGCCCGTTGTCTGCACGGTCGAACAATCCGCGCGCCAACCAACCATATTAACCAACTTGCGCCGCTACACACTCGCCCTCCGGACGGGCGACCCTATCCAAGAGAACTCCTCTCTATATCGATTAGAGAGTCGAGTAACAACCCACAATGCCGCTGATAGGCCAACTCTGACTTCACCGGATAACCTCTTTTTTTTCGTAGTCTAACCAACTACGAAAAATTAACCGATTACGGACGAATCCGTATATGACACCTACAATGCCAATAGAAGGCTCCCAGGACCGGTCCATAGTGGTGGACCGCGAGGATAACGCGGGTAATGCGGGCCACCCCGAAGCCCGAAACCTGCAGGACACACCATAGTCCTAGCGGAAGACATCAACGTTACAAATCGTTCGGTACCAGCAGTATATATAATAATCAAGAAAGAAAAAGTGTATAGGGAAGTGATAGAGAAAGTAATTACTCTCTCACGGAACGGTTTGAAGATAATTACTGTTTTATTCCCAAGGAATCCTTCACCTATAAAAAATAAAATACAGTCCACTGGTGTCGCTATTGCGGCACATATTGAAGAATTAAGACGTTGGGACCGGGACGACTTCGGAAGACCCGTAATCCCCGCCTGAACCTATTTGAAGAAAAGGAAGAGGTCGAGGAGTTTGTATGTTACTCCGTTGCGGGGTTCACATGTGTTGTTCCCGAACCCAACGTAGGTGTCATAGGTGGTTAGGAAATCCGCTGCTGAACCAGCCGGAACAATCGACCTCCTTCGTTCTCTGGTTCCTTTTCAGGGGTGTAGCGGGCTAATAGCGTTTGCATCCGTCATCCGACTATTTACCATAGTTTGACGGCGTGAATCCCATCAAATCTTTCACCTGTGGCTCCAAGTAGCTGTTATGCACACAGCAGCCACACCCCGGTAAACCACGTCTGCTCGCGGGCTGAACCTGGATGAGGGTGGTCTGCTACTATCAGGGCAGACTTTGTAACGGATCTCTCCCATCTAGTGCAAGAAGTCTGTCGCGGCGAGGAAGGCAGCACGTGCAGATAAGCAGTCTGTTATAGCGGACTCGGCGGGCAGCAAGGCAATGGTGTATGGCCTAGGGTGACGGCAGAGAGCTACAGTGACAGTCGGCTAAACACATTATCTCAACTCTTCTCCAATCGTAGTGGTATCTGCTCCATTGGGTTAAGAAGTGGGAAGACGAGAGTGTGCACCTGTGTATGCGCGAGCACTTGTGCGCCTAAATATATCCTGCACCAATGACTGTTGACTACTGTGGACTAAGGTAGAGAGGTCGGGTCATGATGTTTCCTGGCTTTGTCTGAGTCTGCACACAGGCGGCTTGTGTGATGATGGTCGTTTCTACATTGAATTTATGAGTGTCGAAGCAGCCCTATTTAGGGAAGTACTGCTTCCTCTGCTCAGCCGGGGAAGGGGCTAGAAAAGGTGCCCTGAAAATTGCTTATCTCCCCCATATTTTGAAGGTGGTAACCACGGCTGCCTACGCATCCCATACTTCGTGGTCGAAGACACAATGCAAAATGTAAATCATCAAAATGACATTTGGTGCGTGGAATGTGCGCACCCTACTCGATAATGACCATAATCTCTGTCCAGAGTGCAAGACCGCAATCGCAGTTTGTGAACTGGGACGGTATAAGATAGATATAATTGCACTTAGTGAAACTCAGTTGGCAGATGAAGGCGAGCTCGGCGGCTGTTATGAGTTCTTCTGGAAAAGCACACCGGATACAGAACTCAGACGCTCTTGTGTTGGATTTGCAATCAGAATGCAGATTGCAATAGACTGGAAGACAGTCCACAATACATCTCGGACTGTATCATATCTTTGCGTATACATTTGACAAATTCAAGATACTTGAATTTGATCAGCGTTTATGTGCCAAAAATGGACAAGGATGACGAGATTAAAGGTGCATTTTATGAAGAACTCACCAATGTGCTTACAAAAATACATCCAACAGAGCTAATCTTAATGCTCGGAGACTTCAACGCGTGCGTTGGCCGTGACTGTGATGCTTGGCCAAAGGTACTAGGTAGACATGGTGTCAGTAGCATGAACAGTAATGGTCAATTGCTGCTTAGTCTGTGTGCTCAGTTTGAATTAACTGTAACAAACACTATTTTTCGTCCAACAGCTAAGCACAAAACTACCTGGACGCATCCGATGTCGAAACATTGGAATTTGATAGACTACGCGATCGTTCGACATAAAGACATCTCCCGAGTCAAAGTGATTAGTGTCATGCGTGGAGCTAGCTGTTGGACCGATCATCGACTAGTAGTATCAAGACTTGAACTCCGACTGCGATATTGCGCAAGCTTCGATATGGAGAAGTTGCAAGCTCTTGAAGTGCAGAATATTTTTGTTGAGGCAATAAGTGAAGGTATCCCCCACCCCAATATAGATATACCGGTATCTATATCGAGGTGAAGCAATTTTGAATCATATCTCTTCTCATATAGTTGATGTAGGAACGCACGTCTTGAGCCTGAAAAAGCACTTTAACGAGAAATGGTTTGATGAAAATGACGAGAAGTTAGCTGTTATTTTGGAAAGAAATCGGAACCTCTTACTACAACAAAATCACAGTCAAAGCCAAAGTAATAGTTTATTAGAAACAATGAGAAATAGTGGATCTACTCTGATGAAATTGCTAGAGAGATGAAAGACAAAACTGGTAATCTAGAAAGGCAGAATACTTGGTATTTTTTATGCGGAAGTAAGAAAACTGGTCGGGCTTAAGCATAGAAGTAGTGGGCCCGTTAAAGTCACGCAATGGTGAGCAGCGTTTAACAGCAAAAGAAGACGTGTTAAAGCGATGGGCTTTAGCAGATTAGCTGACATCGGATTTATCAGCAACATCTCATCTCTTCCGCAAGTTAGAAGAGCCACCAATATTGCAATAAGTTGTCAATGCCATTCAAGTTCAGCCAAATAATAGAGCGGTTGGATTTGGAGTGAATAGTATTCCTGGCGAGTTGTTGAGGTATAGAGGAGTACGGCTATACACTACAGTATGGAAACTTTTTTCTGGATGTGGTGTAAAAAACAAGTTCACCCGTATTTAAGATATTGCGCATTTGCTCCTTATATAAAAATAAAGGTGAAAGATCTGGCTGCAATTTCTATCGTGGTGTGTCCCTCCTTTCTACGCCTGGAAAAGTAGTACGGTGGTGCGGGTGGTACGCTAGGGTGCTTCTTAACCGACTCATTCCTATTTCGGAGGTGTTGTTACCAGAAACCCAATTTGGTTTTCGTCCGAGGAGAGGTACTTGTGAAGCAAGAAGAGTCTTTTGCGTACGTCAACTGCAGGAAAAAAGTCACGAGTAGCATCGGTCGATGTTTCTTTCATTTGTCGATCTGGAGAAAGCGTTTGATAGCATACCTCGTGAAACGTTATGGATGATTTTGTTAAAATTGGGATGTTCGCAAAAGTATGAACGAGTAGTGAGGCTTCTACACAATGGAATTTCCTGCTGGGTTTCCGTAAAAGGTGAACAAACATTTTTCCCCGTTACTTGCGGTGTCAAGCAAGGTTGTGTCCTGGCGCCAATGTTGTTTGCTCTCTATTTCGCTGTGGTGGTCAGGGATGCTATAGATACTCTGCAGGAAGGGAAGTATTCGTTTCCGAACCGATAGCAATTTTTTTAGTTTAAATAGACTGCTTTAAATAGACTGGGGGTCATTGTAGAAGCGTGCTCGTCGCGACCCCTGCCAGCCCTTTTCAGGGCTGCAATTCTACACAGCTGCGCACCCATGCAAACGAGGGTTAGGGCGTCCCCCCAAGGCGACGCACACCAGCTCGTCCCCGTTGGTGTGGAATGCAGCGCGCAAAGCGGCGATGGGGACCGCCACCCGTCACGCACAGCCCGACACGGCGGAAGGTGGAGGACGGAGTGCAGAGTTGGCACGTGGAATGTTAGAGGGGGCATGAGAGATAAGACGAATGAGTTGATCGAAATAATGAAAGAAAGAGAATTAGATGTCGTGTGTATGTCGGAGACCAAACGGAAAGGCAGTGGTACTGAAGAGCTCCCTGGCGGGACGTTAGCTATATGGTCCGGAGTCCCGGAAAGCGAGAACGCATGCCAGGGAGTGGGAGTGCTGTTGTCGTCCACGTTGGTCGATCTTATGACTGAATACAAGGTTGTGAACTCAAGACTTCTCTGGGTTCGCTTCAAATTGGGACTGACGAAGTTATTCCTCTTGGCTGTTTATGCGCCGGTAGCTTCGTCGTCCAGGGCTGAGCTGGAGGAGTTTTGGGAGAATATAAGAGAAGTTCTAGATTTGGTTAAGGGAAACGAAAGAACTGTTGTATGTGGTGATTTGAATGGATGGGTAGGTATCGCTCGACCAGGATACGAGTCGGTGCTTGGAAAGTTTGGCGATAAAAGGGTTAATGATGCTGGCAAGCTTATACTGGCTGTATGCAAGGAAAAGGGTCTTCTTGTGACAAACACTATGTTTAATCACAGGAAAATCCATATGTACACTAGAGAAAGAAAGAATGAGGGAAGTATGATTGATTTGTTCCTGGTGGATGACCGACTGCGAAAACAGGTGATGGATACACGAGTGTTCAGGGGTGCTGACCTGGGAACGGATCATTATCTAGTAATTACTAGATTTAGGGGTTTGTTCGCGGGTTGGCGCTACCGGACGGCAGTAACAGAACCACAGTCGGTCTGTCGCATCCGAAGCTGGGGCTAGGGACAAATATCACACAAGGGTAGCCGAAAAGCTTGACACCATCGATGGCAGGAAAGAATGTGTGGAGAGAACATGGCAGAACTTTAGGGATGGAATGGTAAGTGCAGCGGAAGAAGTATGTGGTACGACAAAAAGAGGTAGTAGTAAAAGAAGAGATGCATGGTGGAATGATGAAGTGAGAGAAGCTGTAAAAAAGAAGAAAAAAGCATGGTTAGACTACTTGGCCTCTAGTAACGATGAGCATATGAGAGAGAAGATGAAAGAAAGATATAAGCTGCAGAAAGTTCATGCGAAAACATTGATTGAGGAAGTACGTGAAAGGTGTAGAATAGAAGCGGACGAGAGGTTGTCGCACAACTTTAGGGAAAACTCCAAACTCTTCTGGAAAGAGGTTGGAAGGTCCCGGAGTGGTGCGACAGCCTTAAGAATGAACAAAGTGCTTTCGAGAACCAATGACGTCCTCTCAGAAAAATCGGACGTCATACAGCGATGGAGTGAATTTTATAGAGAAATGTATGCGTGTCATGATCTTAGTGAAGGATCCGGAGGTGACGCCGTGACTGGCACGCTAGACACGGACCTCGATGACACTGAGGTCATCAGCATGAAAGAGATTGAACGTGCGATTCGAAGTTTGAAATGTGGTAAGGCTGCGGGACTAGACAGAGTTACTGCTGAAATGGTCAAGTACGGTGGGCCTCGCGTCTGGGACAGCTTCCATCTGCTGTGCAATTTGTGCTGGCGGACGGGAGATGTCCCGGATGATTGGCGATCCGCGGTCATTGTGCCTTTATATAAAGGTAAAGGTTCACATTTTGACTGCGGGTGCTATCGGGCGATCAGCTTGACCAGTTTAGCAAGTAAAGTTTACTCGAAGGTTTTGACACGCAGGATGCAAGAGACATCGGAAAGATTCTTATTGGAGGCACAATGTGGATTTAGACCTGGAAGAGGATGCACGGATCAAATGTTTTCTCTCCGCATGATCACGGAGAAGCTTCTGAGTGTTAACCGGAGGATTTTCTGTGCTTTTGTGGATCTGGAGAAAGCATTTGATAAGGTTATAAGGAAGAAAATGTGGGAACTGTTGCCGGGATATGGTGTGGATGGTCGATTGTTAAGGGCTGTGCAGTCACTTTACTATGACTGTAAAGCCTGTGTGCGGATAGGGCATGACCTGTCACCCATGTTTAGCGTCCAAGCGGGCGTAAAACGGGGTTGTGTCATGTCTTCCTGGCTGTTCATACTGTATCTCGACAGCTGTTTACAGAAGCTGAAAAATAGCTGTTTGGGTGTGAAATTGGGTGACATAAAAGTTAATTGTCTGCTGTATGCTGATGATGCAGTGCTTATTGCACCATCAGAAGCAGAACTGCAGGCATTAGTCACGTGTATGAAAGAGGAATGTGAAATTAAAGGTCTCCGTTTGAATGCTAATAAAACTAAGGTTCTGGTATTTGAAAAGGACGAAGAGAGAACGAAATGTGAAATATGGGTAAATCAGGAATGTCCAGAACAGGTAAATGAAATTGTATACTTGGGGAGTGCTTTCAGCCGGGATGGAAGATGTGATTTAGATGTGGACAGGCGTGTCGCTGCCGGAAACAAAGTCAATGGTGCCCTGAATGCATTAGTAAAAAAGCAAGGCGTGGTGAAGAGTGCACGCCTTGCAATACATAATGCAGTGTTGGTACCGACTTTGTTATATGGCAGCGAAACCTGGGTATGCCAGAAGAAGCATAAAAGCAAGTTGAATGCAGTGGAGATGCGATCTCTTCGTAAAATGTGTGGCGTTACCTTAGCCGACCGAAAGCGAAACGAAGAGATTCGCAATATGGCAGGATTGAAAGATGACCTTATCACAAAAATTGATAGGGGCGTACTCCAATGGTTTGGGCACGTTGAACGAATGAGTGAAGTCCGAATGGTGAAGAAAATATATAGAGCGAAAGTAAATATTAAAAGGTGTCGAGGTAGACCGAGACTAACTTTCGAAGACCATGTGAGCAAATTGCTCGAAGAGGGGAAGGTCAAGAGTACTCGGATACCTAGACGTGCATGTATGAAGAAGTTAATGAACCTGGAAGAAGCGAAAGAGGTATGTAAGGATCGTGACACTTGGCGATCTGTTCTCTCTGGCCACCCCGTTAGGGATTGTGCGTGAAGATAAGTAAGTAAGTAAGTAAATAGACTGCGGGCAAATTCTAAGGTGACTTGCGACGTAATTGAAACTATGTACGCACATGACTTGTACTTTGTGACGGATTCCCCAAATTCTCTCCAAAGATTGATGACTAGTCTTGAGTCATGACGAAAGTTTGACCTCAAAGTCAGTGTTACACAGACCGAAGTGATGGCTACGGGCTCCCATTCTGACCCTTTACAGATCCAGCTTAATCAAGGCATTCTGAATTCTGTAGAAAGTTTTAAGTACTTGGGAAGCGTAAAAACATCTAAATGTGACCTTGAAGTTGAAATTAATGGAAGAATGGGTGCTGCATCAGCTGCTTTCGGAAAATTGAGATCCAAGGTTTTCCGTTTACATGATCTCAGGTTACTCACTAAGATAGCAGTCTATAGGGCGGTTGTTCTGCCAAACATTTTATATTCCTCTGAGTCTTGTTGTTTGTATCGGAGGCACATACGAATTCTGGATGGATTCTACTCGTATATTCAATGTCTCTGTAATATCATGGGTATAGGTTGGCCCGACCATGTCA